TGCTAACCAGAAGGCTGGCGGTTCAAACTCACCAGCCACTCCTCAGAAGGAAGATGGGGCAATCTACTTCCGTAGTGATACTGCCTCAGAAGCCCAAGGAGGGGTCACTATGAGTTGGATCAGACTCGACAGCGCATAACAACAACAACAACAATACTAAAATGAACACGTGTATGCTTTTCACTCAAGAAATAAAACCTTGTTGATTATTACTTTCAAGGAAGTTAGTCTTTTAATATAATTAGACAAAATTAGTTGGTTTTAATTCTTATGAACTGAATGTTATATTTTTTACTAGAAATTGATTATAGCATAAGTGCTTCTTTCTGTTGCTTGGTATACCTTTAAGTATTAATATTTTTAAAACTTCATTTTATTGTGGGTGAAAAACATTGAAAGATTTGAGGTGTCTTGATTGTGCAATGGTTAAATGCTCTGCTGCTAACTCATAAGTTTGGAGGTTTGAACCCACCAGCTGCTCTACAGGAGAAAGGTGTGCAATTCTGCTCATGTAAAGATTTGTAGTCTTGCAACTCTAAGGGGCAGTTTTACTCTGTCCTGTATCAATACTTGAAGAATAATAGAATTTTTAAAATATTTATTCCATGTTGAATTTCTGAAACTCACTGAAAAAATTTCACCAACTTAATGGTCAAATCATGTATTTGAAGCTATGAGTTGGATCTGACTTGACAGCAGTGAGTTTTTTTACTCTATAGCAGGGTTTCTCCACCTTGTTGTTGTTATGTGCTGTCGAGTTGAACCTGACTAATAGCAATCCTCCTTGGGTTTCTGAGGTGGTATCACTATGGAAGTAGATTGCCCAACCTTCCTTCTGAGGAGCGGCTGGTAGGTTTGAACTGCCAGCCTTCTGGTTAGCAGTCAGGTGCCTTAAGTACTACACCACCAGAGCTGTTTTGGACCAGGTAGTACTTTGTTGGTCTGGCTGACCTATGCATGGTAGAATGTTTAGCAGGTCACTAGATGCCAGCCAGCACAAATGTTGCTAAATGTTCCCTGAAGGGCAAAATTGCCCCAGTTGAGAACTATTGCTCTATAGGGCAGTGTGTCCCAAAGGTTGGCCTGTGAAGGAAGAACATTAGCACCATCCAAGAAGTTGTTATACATGCAGACTCTTGATCTTCACCTCAGATCTACTGATCAGAAACTCTGGGGATGAGACCCAGCAATTTGTATTTTAACAAGCTCTCTAAGTGATTCTGGTGCACACTCAAGTGTGAGAACCACTACTCTGTAGGAAAGAGTTGTATTTCTCAAGGTATCACCCCCACCACTCTGGTGGTGTAGTGCCTAAGGCACTTGACTGCTAACCAGAAGGCTAGTGGTTCAAACCCACCAGGCACTCTTCAGAAGGAAGATTGGGCAATCTACTTTCGAAGAGATACCATGTCTGAAACCCAAGGAGGGGTCGCGATGAGTCAAATTGGCAGTGAGTTTGGTTTTTTTTTTTTGTTTATTTGTTTATATACATGTTTTACATACATAGTAAAACTCTGCTAAAATGCAGATTTAGATAAGATATGATTTGTGATTGGCTTCTGTCCTCCTCCCAACTTTTCTTGCCAAACAGGAAAGAAGGAAAAATCTAATTATATGTGGTAAGGAGAAAAGGGGTGAAAGAAGAGAGTTAGAGGCTGGTGACAGATATTATAGAAAGCACTGGTTTGGGAAAATGAAAGCTGGATCCTTGAGTTCCCAGTATTTTCCAGTCTCAATCTCCTGAGATTGAAAGAAATACTGTATAAAAATAATAGTAATTACAGTAAATTTCAGTGTATTAAACTCCATGTTCAGACTCAGGCATATATGAGATTTTGGTATATATAAGAGAATAGACCTCACAATTAAATGAGTCTCTTCTGTGATGTCTACTGTAGTCAGTTGGTTTATTACTATGTTCCCATTCTAATAATCATACTTTTTATTACAACATTATTGTACTTGGTATTTGCCAGAATTTTCTGAAATATTTGTGGATATTTGATTTAACATATAAGTTTCAGAATCACCCAAACATTCTTGTTAAGAGTTTAATCGGAATTTCTTTGAATTTAGATTTACTTGGAGAAAATCGATGTCTTTACAATGTTAAATCAAAGCAGTCGCTATTGAGTTGATTTCAACTTGTGGCAAACCCATGTGTGTCAAGAGCGCAACTATACTCCACTGGGTTTCAGTGGCTGGTTTTTTAGAAAGTAGATCATCAGGTCTTTCTTCTGAGGCACCTGTGGGTGGACAGAAGCTGCCAACCTTTAGGTTAGAAGCCAAGTGCATTAACCATTTGTATCACCCAGGAACTCCTTTCTCTATAATAGAATTTAAGTGTTTTATTGTTATTGTCAGATAAATTTCTAGCTATTTTTCATTTTCTGTTTTTATAGTAAATGGTGTCTTATTTTCTCTCAAGTTTATATTTGATATGTCTAAGGTACTGGCATACTATTGCTTTATCAAACTTCTTTGTTCTTATATTTGTCTAATTTCATATGTTGGCCAGGAGTTTTATTTACTGCCTTAACTTCTTTCTCTGATTGGATTGGGGAGAGGGAGCCATGTTTGTCTTATTCCCAACCTCAAAGAGAATGTAGCTTAATTCTTATTATTATCTATGTTCATGGTAGAGATCTATCAGATATGCTTTACTATGTTAAGAAATTTGTTTCTGTTCTTCCAAATGTTTTTTAAATCATAAATAGGTTTTGAGAGTTAACAGTTGGTTTTCCTGTTTCCTATTGGGATTATCATGTGATTTTGCTTTTTCATGACATTAATGTAGAAAATTACATTGATTTTTCTCGTGTTGAGACTCATCCATGCACTCCTAGGATAAATGCTACTTGGTAATGATATATATAATTGTTTAAAATATACCTTTTCATCAAGGTATAATGTTTTCTTGAGGATTTCTGCCATATCATGTCTTATAGTTCTCCCTCTTTTTTTGGGTGCATTCAAAATCAATAATATTTTTCATTATGGGAAAATTACATAAATTGGAAATAAAACCTAATAGATGCTCATGATTTTAAAATTCAGTTAAAACAGCTTGGCTTAAAATGAATAACAGAGCAGTCACCACTACCACCCTTCCCTACTCCTAAAGTGCCATCCCTAGAGACAATCACTTTCAGTGATTTAGGTATTTTTTCCCCCACTTACTTCCATATATCTACAAAATCTCTTTATGCTGCTTTTGCCACTCTTTCTTGTTTTTTATTATTTTTTTTGCACATGATCTGCTTACTTTCTACTGTTGAAGAACAAGATTGAGCCATTTATTTTACCAACAACCTCTCACCCCTTCCCTCTCCTATCATCTCTTTTTAATTCTATCAAATGCTAATGAAATGAATGTTCAATATTAGTATTTATTTTATGGGGAACAAACATTGTTCACATCCAACTTAATATTACACAAGTCTGTATTTTTTCCTTACCAAACTGTCGATTTTGTCTAGAGTTTGGAATTTTCTCAAATTTTTATATGTTAAGGTTATTTATCACTAATTCTTATCTCAGACTCTCCAGAACTACTTTTAAATCCTTTTTGGTATAATCAAACATACCAGATAATATATTCTGTCCAGTTTTTACTTAGAGGCATTTCTTCTGAAACCTTCATGCCGTTACTCCAATTTTGGCTGATTACTTTCTCATCCTGCTGCATAATTTAGGAATTTGCTTCACTATATCATCCTGGAAATTCCATTTACCTCTCTTCTCTGATGACTCTCACACTTCTTAGACTTTATGTTTTCTGTTTCTTGGCTTGAATGATCTTTAAAACCTGATGCTATACAAACTATTTGGTCCTTAGACTTATCGGACCTTGTTTCAGAGTTACTTCAGTAGTCTCTAGTATGCTTCTTAGTTCTTACTGTTCTGTTTACTCCTACGTAGCCGGGACCAGCAGAAGGCAGGTGTTTGCGTGCCTGGAGCTGTCCTGGGCTCAGCTTGCAGTAAGCCAGCCTCAGGACCAGCAGAAGGCTGGTGTTTGCGTGCCTAGAGCCACCCCAGGCACAGGCTGCACTAAGCCAGCCCTGGGATCAGCAGAATGCGGGTATTTGCCCTGGGGGTGGGTTGGGTAAGCGAGCAGGGAAGGGGAAACCAGGTAATGAACAGAGCAGTTTAGAATAGCTAGGGGAGACAAACTTGTATGTCCGTTTGTTGTACTGTGGTAGCTTGAGTGTTGCTGTGAGGCTGAAGGGTATGCCACCGGTGGTATGCCACCCTTCAAATGCTAGCAGGGTTATACATGATGGACAGGTTTCAGTGGACCTTCCAGACTAAGACAGACTCAAAGAAGGAAGGCTATCCACTTCTGAAAGAATTGGCCAGTGAAAAGCTTATGAATAGCAGTGAAGCACTATCTGATATATTACTGGAAAACTTTATGAATAGCCCTGAAACATTGTGTGATACAGTGCTAGAAGATGAGTCCCTCAGGTTGGAAGGCACTCAAAATACGACTGGAGAGCTGCCTCCTCAGGGTAGAGCCTGCCTTAACGATGTGGATTGAGTAAAGCTTTTGGGACCCCCTTTGCTGATATAGCACATCTCAAGATGAGAAGAAACAGCTGCAAACATCCATTAATAATAGGACCAAGGAATGTACGAAGTATAAATCTAGGAAAATTGGAAGTTGTCAAAAATGAAATGGAATATAT